TGTTATATTATTTATGGAATCACATAATAATGTTACTTGATTAAGAGTAGTTTTGCTGTGTTAATTAATCATTGCAGACTTCCATAGCTGCATATATCTGCCTATAAACAAAACATATTTTAAATCACAACTGGGTAGTAACACGTGTGCATAAAGAAACCATAATAAATTAATTCTAAAATCTAACACAGACTGGAAAAATCTGTGTCACTGAATAATACATTCTTCTCCCAGCTCAAGTTAGAAATATGAGAAGTGGATGCCTTGAGCCATGCAGTTGATGGTTTAGAAAACTTAATATTCCATGCTCACTGTTGCACTTTGTGTATTTAATATATATACATATTCACTCATATTGTATACAGTGTTCACCTTCTGTAAAACGCACACAAAAACAGAGCACAAACACACTGTGTGTCCTGAGAAAAAGTGATGATTTTCAGAAATCAGATCAAAGGCGCCCTGTGGTCTGAACAGATCGCTGGAAACAATCATTGCTTCTGGCTCCCTGATATAGCTCATTTAAATGTGATCCATTTGGTCACACCTAAGACAGGAAAGGGCGCATCACAGACTGCAATTTTTAAGAGATTTCTTCAAAGATGGTCACTAAATGGTATTATAGACAATAAGGAGACTCCTCTTACAGGTAAGTGCCAAGACTTCTGAGGTGGTACAGGAAAGGGAAAATGTCTGGCTAGGGATAAGCAGTAGAAGAAACGTGTTGGGAAAGGAAAAGGTGAAAAAGAGCAATTTTAAGGGAAGGGTTAAATTCTTGGTACCAATACCAGAATCACACCTGTCATGACTGAACAAAGTTTTGACACTATGGCACAGAACAAAGCCACATGGACTTCAAAACCTTTTAAAGATACACCCATGCCATTCTGTGAGATCCAATTTATGAAATCTCTTAGAGAACGCTGACAACAAAAGAATCACAGGACAGAAAAAAGTCTGCTGGAAATTAGGTTGGTATGCACTTCCCTGAAACATTAAGGGTTTATTTTTGTTTTGGAGAGATGCCACGCATGTAGCATATGCAGGAAACATTTGCACAGTAATTTGTGTTATAAGCAGCGAACAAGGCCCTTCCTGACTCGGTTGGAAATGCTTTGGGTTAGGATTCTAGAAAAGAATAAAGTCAGGTCAAGACAATGAAAACAAAGGAGGAGACGCACAGTAACAGAGTAAAAAGGACTGTCTGGCAATTCAAATGCTGCAATGCCAGGGACAACATAACAGAGACATAAAAACAAGATTCCATAGGTGTGATGCACTTCCTTTTTTCAGACCACAGCCTAAAAAGGGTAGTATATTCCCTACATGTGGTTATGACAACAAAAATCTGTTGGATTCTAAGAGAAAGAAAAGGAAATTTCTCTACCCAGGGTTCCCCAGGTGCCAAAATACTGTGCCAACATTCCTAGAAGGGAAGAAAATAACAGATGCCCTTTTAGAGGAGTCACATGACACCTGACAGGTGACCCTCAATCCCTAGCACAGTGACTTGTCATCTGCTCATGTATGACACAGTAACGCCCCTCATCTCTACTAATTTAAGTGCTTCTCAGGAGGCACAAAACACTGTAGATGAGGGCAGCTGAGTAATGAATTTAGATGATCTACCTGGCAGACACAGAGAGAGAAAAGTTAGAATGTACTGCAACATCTCCCCTGAGGTGTTCGTTCTCTTATCTTTCCCATGACCCTGTGTTCTCACGTTTTTTGCCGAGAATTTCAAACAAGAAGATTAACGTAAGTGCATTGGGTTTAATGGCATGAACTAATTTTGTTCTGTTTCTCTGGTCTCCTCTAAATATCTGATGGCCATTGTGCTATGTTTCCTGAATTGATCACAAGGCAGCAAGACTTGGTGGAAAGGAGAGTACAAACAGGGCTCCTCAAACATTTCAGATTATCCAGAAACCATCTAGACTTCTTATGATTAGGAGAAAAACAAAACAGGAGAAATCTTTCCAGTTTGGACCATTACTCCCAATATCCTACTATTAAACGGTATGTGATACTTCAAAAGCACTGCCTACAAAAGTAGTACTGCCTACTATATTTTTCTTTAAAAAAAAATTGTAGCTTTAAGGGGCACATAAGTTCATCTAATGAGGAGGTGCAGGACGAGAATACTTGGATAGATTTTTGAACTCTACAACTCCTTAGAGGGGGTTGGGGATATAAAATGTGTTTTCCTGGTCTACTTTATCCTGATTAACAAGCACACATACCTTCTTCATAAAAATAAGCCCTGGTATAGGATGAACGAGGCATTCAAGTATGATATGGCAACAAGTATCAACAGCTGTGATCTTTTGCACAAAGCATGTGGCCTTATCCTTTCATATTTTGTCAGCAGGGAAATCTTCTAGCAGAGTGTCATTTTCTGTGTTCTCCTGGTATCTTCAAGTAGCACTTAGCTCAATTTGAAACTCTCAAAGCATCTTAAAAGTAGGCCCAATGTCACCTTAAATGCAGTTATGATGCAGAATCTAAATATGCTTCAGAATCTGAGCATTATTAGCAAAATCCTGTCCAAGGCAATCTTGTTCATAACCAAAACATGCAATGCATGGGTGTTCTGCCAACCCTAGGAGATATACTCTCTCTATGCCAACCAAGTGCTGGTCTCATATTGATTCTATAAATAACTTTTCAGCACCATTGTGAGGTTATGCAAGACATTTCTGGCTCTTTTGAATCAGGATTAGAGAGTATAACAATAACATGTCCAGCAATAAGTTGTTTTCCCTAAGAGAATATCTGATTGTATTCCATCAACTTAGTTCAATGTCTCTTATAGAAAATCCATGGCTGTGCCCACCTACCCCAGCAGAGATTGGCATAACATTTCTGCTGATAATGGGCCCAACCAGGCATGCCTTATTATTGACAACAACAGTCCTACTAACATTCAAGACATTCTTCTATTGCACAATCACATGTGATTATTGCTGAGATCCCCCGAACAGGCTGGACATGCACTCAATGCAGTAGTAGTGGAACAAGAATGTTTAAGTAACTTACTAAAACAACAAGAAAGAAGAAAGCTATTGCAATGCAATTGCTATTTGTCAAGCAACATTATTTTGAAAAGAAGTTAGCATTTTTATAGATGGCAGAGTAAGCAAACACTTTTTGCAACAAATCAAGTCCTTTATACATATCATCTAATCTTTGTTTAAGCATAACTGTTTATTCAGGGGGTTCCAATGACAATGACAGTCCAATCAAAATCCAAAGTCCAATTAAATCAATGGAAAGCTTTCTATTGACTTCAACGGGTACTGCAGTAGTTTCCCACTATAAACAGCCCACCCCGTGTACAGAATAAATTCAAGCAGGTGTTTGTTCAATAGAAACCCTATGTCTTTCAATTCAGTGTCACTGAAACCGTGAACCATGAGCCCTGCAGGCTGGATGACCCGGCATCACAGGTTGGATCTGGCTGGGGGGCTAGGGGTTGAGCACCCCAGGTTAGAATCTCAAAGGATGCTACATCAACTCCCTGAAACGTCCACTGCTACTAACTGATTCTAGATGACTGACACTTGAGCATTTGACTTGTCCACGCATTAGAAGACAGCTCTGAAAATACTGCTTAGTCCTTAAATGGGGTAATATTCAGTGACAGAGAGGTCGAGCAAGAAAATAACACATAACTAACACAAATCTAAAGCCAGCGCATCATTTATGACTGAAGTCAGGTTCATATCAACTTCCATAAGTAGACCTGAATCTCTGGTGGGACCTTTCAGGATCTCTGGTATTGACCTTTGACTGGAACTTAAAATATACAAATCTTTTAAACCATATTCCTTAGAAAAAGAGAAGTGGGAATTAGCAAACAATAGTATGAGAGGATGACTTCCTGAGGAAAAGGTAAACCTCTAAAAACCTGGGCTCTATCTGCTTGTCCTAGTATGGCTATAGGTATGGACATCAGGAGACACTACTTTACAGTTAAGGCTGCCAGGCTCTGGAATGGGCTCCCAGTTGAGGTGGTGCTCTCTCCTACCTTGGGAGTCTTCAAGAGGAGGCTGGACAGATATTTGGCTGGGGTGTTATGACCCTGGCACCTGTTCCTGTCAGGGGCAGGGGGTTGGACCTGATAATCTGTTTAGGTCCCTTCTGACCCTAAGTACTATGATATGTAGTTAATATTGAATAAAGACATATTAGAAGATATGAGGGAAACCCTGATACTGTGATCAATCCTCACCAAAAACCATGTGAAAGCACAGTTCATTAGAAGTCAGAGGCTTAGCATCAAAATATAGTTTACTGAACTAACCTAAGGTTTCTCATAGTACATTAAGCACAGTTTAATTAATTACTCAGTGTTTTTAACAGATACTTCAACAATATTCTTTTCAGATAAAATGACAAAAAAAGGGTACTAAACCAAAAGGTCATATAAATCTGTTGTTTATCTAATTTGGCCGGAATACAAAACCACATCTTGTGTGGAAGAAGAACGACGGATACAAATTTAAAAATGCGTAAACATTGGTCAACTGGTATAAACTAGAAACAATTCTATTCAAGCCAACAGTTGAAGAATTAGGTTTTATATTTTTCAGACATCTAACAGACAAATTGCAATGACAGTTCATACTACAGGACAGCTTACCGATATTTTAAACAATTAATAAAAAAATGTTCAAGATCTGTAAAGACAGCTCATTATTTATTACTGCCAGTGTGCTTAGTCTCAAGGAGTTTTTTTAATCTTAATAAACTGGTATTCAAATGAAAATGCTTCATGTTGTAGATAGAGACTACTCATCACATGCAAGAGTCAGAGGAACTTATCTATTTTCTTATACTTTTTTTAACCTTTTTTCTTGAATCAGAATGTTTATGGAATCCAAGGCATCTTCAGACATTACTTCTTGTTGGAGAACATTAAGTCATTTTTATGCTGTAAAGTTAACTTTTTTTCCTATGTAACCCTTTTATATGACCATACTGAAATGATTTCATACCTTGTGTAAGCAACTGAAGGTTTCGCACTTCTTCTCGAACTTTCAGCTGAAGAACTTGTTGCAAAATATGCTGCCGTAGGCTCTCCTGGCCAATTCCCATTCGTTCAAGCTTTTTGTCAGTAAGCCTCAGCAAAGCACGGCCTGGATCCAAAAGTAAAAGAGAAATCATCTAAGGACTTCCATTAATGTAACACTCTCATTCTAGCCAATAAGCTTATGTCTATTGCACTAAAAGCTTTAGCCCTGAAAATACATGATTCATAACGGTCTAAAATACAAAGGGGTATGGGTTTGAGGAGTTAAATACTTTCAATGCCAATGATCCATGTTCAAAATCCTTGTTTTACATCATTAGTAAAAATGAGTTTGGCAAGTTCTACCAGCCTTAGTACTTTGAGGATGAGACCATCAGAGACTGGCCTATAACGTAACAGCAAACTTCTCAAGATACCCCTGAACTTGGAACCTCTCTTCCTCAATTCCTCAAAACAGAACTATATTACAATCATACTAAATTATCCATATCCTGGACTAGTGCTGGTTGCTTCCTGAATTGGCATTCAACATTCTAGCACACTGAGGTCATGGTGTAAAAGAGCACATAACAAGGAGCATGAGAACACAGTAAATGCACACAATTCTAAAAATATGCTCTTCAATCAATGGATCGCATCCTCCTAGGTTTCAAGAATGGGACCCTGATGCTGTCACTTGGACATCATAGCAATATAAATTATTAAAATAAGAAACAAAGGACAGCAGGAAAGTATTGAAGCACTTGTGTCTACCACAGTATCTAAGCTTGTAGCAGTGCCTCCAACACTTTCTCTTAGGGTGCAGACAGACAACACATTTACTATGTAGTAAACTGACTTTACTACACAGTTAAAATGAAGCAGGTATGAGGCACAACTATGCAGCAAATCACTTGAACATAGGGTAAAGTTACCCAGTGAAAAATGTGTAGCAATATGGGAAAGTTGCTACATAAGACTGTGTTGTGTATCCAATCCCTTAGCCAATGTCATCCTGGGTTAACTATTGCTCAGTGCAAACCAGCTCCCCAACTCTTAGTAAATAGGAAAGTCATGTTAGTAAAAGTGTTATGGAGTAAATTTACCACAGAGTAAAATCCAGGGAAAAATCACTGGGTGCGTCTACACAGGATGCTATGTTGCCATAGTGACGAGCTACCGCGTTGTAGCTCATTGCCACAGTGATGTAGCGCTAGTGGGCACTAACCGTGATGCTGTTGCTATTGCACAGCAGCTCACTGCTACTGTGCAGTGGGGTTGGAAACACAGAAACAACCTGCGTGCCACTGGGACTGCGCACTATTGGTGGGTATTGTATAGTCATTTACTACTTGCTTTAGCAAATACTAAATGACTGTGCAGGATCAACTGCACAGTGGGGCGCATGTGTGGATACGCCCCTGTGAAGTAATCATGTTATGTCTGCATCCTTACAGGAAGAAAAACAATCTCCACGCTCTTGCCCCCTAAATGTTTAGGTGCTGATGGTTAGGCAAAGTCCCTATCCACCGGTAACAAGAACCACTACAAACTGTCTTCTCCTATTTCCAAAATCCTTGTCTCCCTAGTTCAATGCTAATGTGTAAATGCAAAGCCAGAGTGTAAGTACATTGACTCGGAAACATTATATTTTTTTCAAAACAGACTCAATTCTTTGCCTTTCTCAAGTTCAGCTTCATTTGCTTTCTAGTTTGACTAATTTTGTTTTGCCTTTTAATCATTAAATCTTCATCTTTTGATTATACAAGCAAGACAGCGAGTGGGAGTTCTCCCTTCTGCCTAACCCCTTTTTCAGCCTCTATGTGAACAGCACAAGTTAGCCCATAGTAACGTACTATTCAACACAGCAGGAGGAAACTCTTATTCAGTTTCTATCTTTATAAAAACAACAATTTGAGTGTCAGATTATTTTAATTAAAGAACTGAAAAAGATTATTTCAGAAATGCACAATCAGAAGCTGGAGATTTTTATTTATTTAGGAAAAAACTTAGCTAACAGAGCCCCTCTGAACACCAGACCATGTCTACTCTTTAAAAGCTGAATCACATTACTGATGGATGTGACCCTGGCTTGTATTTGTAAAGACTTTCATAATATTTCAAGATAAAATGTGATACAAATGTAATATATTTGTATATAACATTATAAATATTAACAAAAGCATATCTATGTCTCAGGTACAGAATGAAAATATTCACGTACTTTGTGCCACTCATGATGACACTCTGGACCAGTAAGGGCACCCTTTTGTCTAGTAAGCGCCTTTCTTTGAAATCATATACCAAAGGAATTCTATGGGTTAAGGTAACACCAAAAATACAGAAATTAGTATTTTACAGATCAATGCCCGCTATCCAATTCCACCAGTGAAAAAGATAGTAATAATTACTTCAATTTTTATATCATCTTATCATGCAAAAACATCTCAAAGCAATTTACAAAGGATGTATAGCAGTAGAAGAATACAGCCTGCAATGCCAATCCAGCAACAGAAAGCAAGCAAAAATAAACAAATCCTCAATTAAAAAAGTGTCAGCATCCATGTCATCTTAGGTAGGAAGTCAATACATAGTAATGTCAGGACATAAGGAGGACATGCCTCTCACCCACCTTCCTGGCCAATGACTGTACTTCTTAATATTTTGTCTAAGTACTTATTGGAATAGATTCACCAGTGCCCTTTGGGAGTTGACTGTATACACAGTGAAATTTCTTCTCAACTTCATGAGTGTCAGTCGTTTTGTAGCTCTAGTTCAAAGCACTGTCACCAAAATAAACTCTAACGCTATTTGTAGCAGCTCTTACCAGCTTTACTTAAATGAACTTTTGCACCAAACTGTTTCCCAATAGCAATAAAACAAGCAGGCCACCATCATGATGTATATGATTAGACTGGGGGTTGAAATGGAAGGATAAATGTATGGGTTGGGGGTAATTGTGAGGGAATGCAATAATATTTTTAAGGACAATGTTGTTTAACCCACATATCTAGCTGGGGGGTGGGGATATTTTAAGGCAGCCCTATCAAAAGGTGGCAAGATCCTTCTGCTCTCCCATTCAGTTAGCTGGCATAGGATACCTGCATGCGTTGCACAAGTTATTTATTGCTAAGTCACGAGGCACATACATCTCATAGATTCCAGTGCTGTTTCTCCCGAGAATCAGGCAAGAGGTTCCAGGGTGGCCTATATGCAAGTTTATTCAGAGTTCCCCTTCAGGTGTTAATTAGATCAAACAAGGAGGGGATCTTTTTTCAACTCAACATTACACACCCTGTGGGACCTATAATAGCTTCTGCAGCACACCAAGTCCTACTTTTTGATTTATGTCAGAAACACAGTCAGCAAGCAAGTTCATGAACAACGCACAATCTTTACTCAATACTATCTGCATCCTATGTCTTCACATCATGTCTGTTTACTGGCTTGAAAAGAGGAAGTTTTGGCTATTGTTAGTGATGCCATTAAGTCTACAGAGGAACAACCTAATTTCTCCAAAATCACATTTTTAAAAAACTATTCTTCTTTTAGCACTCTCTAACCTCAGAGAACATAACTAGGAACTAAAAGCAAACTAAATAATCAATAATGAATAGCCAAATAAACTTAAAAACAAAATTTTAAAACATCAAAATTCTCACAATTTTTGGACTAATTTTATCAAGTAAACAACAATAAACCTAAGAAAGGCCTAGTCTGCAGATCTTTCCTCTCACCTTAGTGTTGCCTCTGAACATGCTCTTATGATTTACATACAGTGACCTGCCATTTTTCCCTCTTATTTTAGGTAAATCCTCCAAGGTGTAAGATGTGCTCAAAGCTCAGACTCTCCTAGAATTATGATGCTGCTGATATTTGACACTTAAAGCCACACTCTGATAACTTTACATATGAATAGCACCTGATTTCTGAAATGATCTCATTAACTACGTGTAAAGTAAACTACTTCTCAGTGGGTACATCTACACATGCTATTAGTATGATACAATAAACTCCGGCACAGTTCATACTAGTGTTTACAGCTCCCAGGTACAGCGTCTACACGTGTACCTGGGACTGCAGCAGTTTGAGGAGAGCTGTGTGGCTAGGCAGCAGGCAGGGATCTGGTCCCCTGGGCTGACCGGGTGCAATCTCCATCTGCAGTCCCTGTGTGCATGAATGTTTGATCACAGTTATTTCTACAGCCATAAGATAGTACCGCCCTGACAGCACTATCTTTCAGCAGTGAAAATTAGTTTGCTGGGGTCTAATAACATCACACATGTAGACTGTGACACTTTACACCACAGCAAGCTAATCTACTGTGAGGTTAAGCACATGTGTAGATGCACCCAGTGTCCATGTCCAGAGAGCAGTTGTATGGTTTGTGGCACCACAGACCAAACTGCAGTGCCACACACTGCATATTCAGGTGTTCCCCATGCTGCTACCTTGCAGCACAGGGGGTTTTTTGACCCCCCAGAATATCTGGGGGGTCAAAAAACCCACCTGGAAAAAAGTGGGGTGGAGCATGTGGTGGCAGTGTGCGCCACTGGAGCCTGGCTGGCCAGAGCCATACTCAAGCTGGTGGCCAGGCTCTCAGCTGCAGAAGCACCATGGCTACAGTTTCCGCAGCCCCCAGGACCCCAAGTAAGGCTGCTGGGGCAGGCACAGTTGCTGGCTCCAACCTCCCCTACCCCACCTGGAATAACCTTCCACATGCCAGAGTGCACATGGCACAGGTGTTCCCAGGGAACAAGTAGCAGTGGCACAAGGTTCCTAAATTCATAGATGCTAGGGTCAGAAGGGATCTCAACAGATCATCAGGTCTGACCCCCTGCCTAGGCAGGAAAGAGTGCTGGGGTCAGATGACCCCAGCCAGATGCCTATCCAGCCTTCTCTTAAAGACCCCCAAGACAGCGGAGAGTACCACCTCCCTTGGAAGCCCATTCCAAATTTTGGCCATCCTTACCATGAAAAAGTATTTCCTGATATCTAGCTTAAATCTGTTGTCAGTTTGTGACCATTGTTCCTTGTTACCCCAAGAGGCGCCCTGCTGAACAGAGCATCTCTGATCCCTTGCTGCATCCCCGTAATGAATTTGTAGGCAGTCACAAGATCACCTCT